TCCATATTCAAGGAGAGAAAAAGCACCCACATATATTATTTGGGATCCTTGATCAAGAAAATTTGTCCCTTCTCCTACATTCATTTATTTATATTGGTGTGGACTCATGTATATTTGTTTTATACTTTGAGTTTCAATCCAGTATTTTATTTATTTATTTATTTATTTATTTAGTTCACAAACTGTTTCAGGTTTGGACCCTGGAAGCTCTTTGAGGGTGGCTCTTATGTCCCTTTGACATGTCCCTATTCTTTCTTATTTTCTGGCACTGTGAGAGGCTTCTGATTTCTTTTGTTTTCCCTGTCTCTGCTATGGAATCAGCTGTCTCCAAGGATCCATGCTTTCCTTTCCTGAACACTATCAAATAATAGTATTTAGAAACCAAGATCTAGGCACTAGATGGGTTTGTGGCTACAGTGTTGCTTCTATATCCTCTCAGAACAGAACTAAGAAATACTGGTATGTATAGAATAATTATTTCTCAAATCTAATCTCATTGTTGGACATGCTTCATTCTAGCCTGCCTTCTTTGCTTATTTGTAACTTTTTTATGTGACCATGAAAACCTGGCTTCCATTATCTACCATGTATGGCTTATTTTTTCAATTCCATTATACATGTGAGATAGGGTTCCTGGGAAACAAATTTACCAACTAGAGTACAATGTTTATGTATACATATTTTGGATTTGTGTTTGGGAATCTGAGTAAGCAGAGAGACAACTTAATTTAACATGTACTTTCCTTGGCATGGGTGGTGGGCACCCCTAAATCCCCCTTGTTCAAAGGTCAATGGTAGTTATTTTGTCTTCAGCCTTAAGGTGAACAGTCAGAACACTGTTTTTCAAAATTACTTATGTCAGCTCATTTTTGCCCCACCTTCTCCAGTGAGGTTATGCCATACATACTTTTTTAAAAAATTTATTTTCTTTATTTTTTCAAATACATTTGTCACTGCCTCTCCCCCCACCTTCCTCTGCCCCCTCCCCCCTCCCTCCCTCAGTCCTTCCTCTTTGGTTTTGTCCATGAGACCTTGCTACACATTCCCCAACCCTCCCATTCCCTTCCTTTTCCCCCATCCCCCTCTCCCTCCATCCCTCTTGTCTCTGTTCGTTCACTTAGGTTCATCCGTCACAGTATGCGTTCCATTCTGGAATCCCCTGAAAACCAGTGTCTGTTGTTGTTTTTAATTTGCACATATTAATATTCACTCATTGTGATATACAGTTCTATGTGTTTTCACAAATGCATAGAAGCATGCACCCTCCACCCCAGTACAATACAATACAGTTCCTTTACCTACAAATGCCCCTTGGCATCTCCTATATAGTCAGCCACTCTCCATTCACAGGTATCTGATCTGTTTTCTGTCTCCATCATTTTACTCTTTTCAAAATGTTATGTGAATGGAATCTGTAACCCTTTTTGAGTCTGACTTTCTTCACTTGCAAAATGCATTTAATATTCATCCACATCATTGGATGAATCTACAGCTCATTCCTATTTACTACCAAATAGTATCACAATGTAAGTATGTAACCAAAAATTCAGGTTCCACAGCTTGCTGCAAGGAAAGCCAAACTTGTGAGACAGGTGCTGGTACAAAAGGAAGAGGTTTGTTCAGGTACTGCACCTGGGAGAATGGTGGACTCCCATCTCAAAGATCATCTCACCTTCCTGCTCAAACCTGTGGTTCCTATAGGGATAGGAAGGGGTGGGCTTTTTTTTCCTATCCAATTATCTTGCTAGTTTTGGGTACACTAGGGTCCTGTCCATTCATTTTTCTAGCTTTCAGAGTGCTCGGGCCCTATCCATTTGTCTTTGGAACTTTTGGTGCTCTTGGTATAAGAACTTCCCCCGAGCCATCTTGGCCAACTGGGGAGACGCCCCAGTGCAGCCGGACTCTGCGGTGATAGAAGTGGGCCGCAGGACGCCCCATTAGGACGCCTGGAGCTGTCGCACCCCTCAGCCCAATTCCCAGCACTGTACAGGACACCAGCACATTGGGGGAAGCCAGTTGGAGTCCACTGGAGCACCCCTGGATCCTGTCATTCTGGGTCCCCTGCACAGCCTCTGCTCACCTGCCCCTCTGAAGTGGCCTGCCAGGCCCATGCTCCAGCTGATGGCTGCCTACGGTAACATGGGTGTGCCAGTTTGTTTATCCGTTTACAGTCCTGGCTGCTTTTGGTATTTGGCTATTATGAATAAACCTGCTGTAATAATTCACATTCAGGTTTTTGTGTGAACATAAGGTTTTAGTTCATTTGGGAAAACATTTAGGAATTGGATTGCTTGTCTATGTGGTATTTCTTGCACTTTTTAGGAAATTGACAAATTGCCTTCCAAAGTGGCTATAGCATTTGGCATTCCCACCAGTAATGAGAATTCCTCAGGATCTCTCTCTCCACCAGCATTTGGTGTTGCCAGGTTTTGTTTTGTTTTGCTTTGTTTTGAATTTTTGCTATTTCTAACCTATGCAGAGGTTACTCATTGTGGTTCTAATTTTTTTTAAAAATGACAACTGACTGTCATTAGACCATCTAATGTCTAATGACATATGCTCATTTTCCATCTCTGTATTTTCTTTTGTGAATTGTCTGTTTAGATCTTCTCATTTTATTGTTGTTTATTGTTTTCTTATATTTGAGTTTTAAAGATTCTCTAGTCTAGATATGAGTCCTTTATCAACATGTGATTTGCAAATATTTTATTGCCACCTGAAGCTTGTATTTTCATTCTTTTAATAGTGTTTTTCTTAGAGCAAACATTTTTAATTTTGGTAAAATCCGATTTACCACTATTCTTTTCAACTATTGTGCTTTTCTTATCAAAATATTCATTGCCAAACACTAAGTCTCACGGATTTTCTATATGTTTTTCTAGAAGTTTTATCCTTTTAAATTTACATTCTATGATCAATTTTGCATTATTTTTTCTATAAGATGTGAGGTGTGTTTCAAGGTGTATTTTTTACGCCTTTATAAACATCCAGAGCCACTTATTGAAAAGACTGTTCTTTCTCTGTTTAATTAACTATGCATCTTTCAAAAGAGAGTTTACTATATTTGAGGGTAGCTATTTCTAGGCTCTCTGTTCTTTTCCTCTGATCTACATGTCTATATACTTTCGCCAACACCACAGTTTTGATTATTGTAACTTCATAGTACATTTTAAATTGGGTGAGGTGTATCCTCTGACTTTGTTCTTTTACTGAATTATTTTGTTGATTTGATTTCCTTTGCCTTTTCACATAAATTTTATAATTGCATTTTCAATATCTTCAAAAAGAACTTAATGGATTTATAAATTGGGATTGTGTTTAATCTAAAAATTAGAGAGAGTTGACATCTTAACAGAAATGTTTTGTAATTTTTAGCATAAAAATTCTGCACATATTAGATTTACATCTAATCCATTCTATTCTGTAGGTTTTTGAGTCTTTTTTTTTTTTTTAAGAGAGAGAGAGAGGAAGGGGGGAAGAAAGAGAGGGAGGGAAATGTTGATGTGCGAGAGAAACATCAGTGGTTGCCTCTTGCACACCCCCCGCCCCCACCCACTGGGGACCTGGCCCACAGCCCAGGCATGTGCCCTGACTAGGAATTAAACCAGCTACCTTTCGGTTTGCAGGATGACTCCCAATCTACTGAGCTACACCAGTTAGGGCAAGAGTCTTTTCCTTTTTTAGTCCTGAATGGATGTTGAATTTTATTTATTGATTTTTCTGTCTGTTGACATAATCATACAGTTTTCTTTTTTTAATCTTTTAACAGGTTCAGTTACACTGACTTATTTTTAAATGTTGAACCAGACTTTTATTCCTGCATTGACTATCTGTTCTTTGTGATGTATTATATTTAATATTTTGGATTCAGTTTGCTAACATGTCATTCTATATTTCTGTGTCTGTGATCTTGAGCAATAGTAGCCTGTAGTTTTAATAATAATCTGTTTTCACTTTTAGTATTAAGTAATGATGACCTCATAAAATGAGATGGAGAGTATTCCATCCTCTTTTATTTTCTGGAAGAGATTATATAGAATTGACATTTGATATTTTATATTATTTCTTCCTTAAGTGTTTTGTAGAATTTAACAGTAAATCATCTGGTCCTATATTTTTGTCTCTTTTCTCTTCCACATAAGATCTAGAGTTATCTTTTTGAGTTTTATGAAAAGCCCTATTATGAATTTATCTAGAGTTTATTGAATTAACTTATCCACTGAGGAAGAATGAGCACCTTTATATTGTTAACATTTTCATTTCCATGCCTCTCAAGTGAGTATTTATAATTTTCACTACCCAGATTATATCTGTTTTGTGTCCTTTCATTTGGCTGTTCCTCTGGCACAGCAGACTCAACGTGCCCCTCAGACCCTGTGCACTGGAATATGCCGCCCTCTGCCCCTGTCTGCCTCTGCTTCCATACCTACAACATCCTCTCGCACCCTGAGGTTCTCTAGGCATCCAGGTTTGACTCAAAATGGTTTGTGTGCATTCTGTTTCCTTTGCCTATAGCACCACCTTCCACTTCCTCTGTCAGGTAGTTTCTACCTCTATTAGGAAACAACTCATGGAAACTCCTGGGAAACTTCTTGGTATCTCATTCACCCTCCCCATCTGGGGAGGAATTGGAATGGAATTGGGACATCCTACTTGCGCTTCCCGAACACCATGATGAGGAGTTTTCTCTTAGAGCCAACATACTGTATGTAGTAACATTATTACACTGTGTGCTTTCCTTGGTCCTGGAATGTAAGGAGGATTCTCCCACCAGATCCTCTGTTCTCTGCCCAAGCACTCACTCTTCAGTTTCTCTTTTCAAATGTCAAGAGCTCAAGGAACAGAAAAGAACAAATTGTAAACCTAGGCTTCATAGATGTGAAAATATAACATACTCAGAGGCATTATTTTCACCATTTTCCCTTTAATAAAAGTGGTAATTTTGTTCCTTCTATGTTGGTTCACTAATAGGTTACTCTTATGTAATTGGTTCTTTTCAGGAGCCAGAGAAAAATCAGAGACTACGGAGACAACCATTTCTCAGCTGCTGTTGTCCAAGGGACACTCACTTAGGGTGTGGCTGAAGCAGGGAGCTTCAAGGAACTCCAGGACTGGAAGACCCAAAACTCAGGAAAGGCTATCAGAAATGCAGGCAGGAATCTTAAGGCCAGTGACAGAGCCCAACAAGGAGACTGGACCTGGGAAGATGAACTCTAAATGCAATGAATTGGGGACAGGTAACAGTCCACTGTCAAGAGTTTTACAGGAGCGAGTCTCTCCAGTAGGTGTTCTCTGTGAAAGTGACACACACAGACTAGTTAAAGACCCCAGCAGTCAAGTGGGGAAGAACCATTATGAATATAGTGAATGCAGAATTATCAGGAATTGGGATCTTGCACATGACTGTGTTCATGCTAAAGCAAAGCCCTATGAGTGCATAAAGTGTGGGAAGACCTTCAGCTGTACATCAGACCTCATGCAGCACCAGCAGATTCACACTGGAGAACAACCTTTTGAGTGCAAAGAATGTGGGAAAACCTTTTGCAACAGTTCTGCTCTCGGGCGACACATGAAGAATCACACTGAAGAGAAGCCCTATGAGTGCAATAAATGTGGAAAGGCCTTCACCAAACAGTCAAATTTAATTAAGCATCGGAAGACCCACACTGGAGAAAAACCCTTTGTATGCAAAGACTGTGGGAAAGCCTTTTGCTACAGGTTTAATTTGAGTCAACACATGCAGATTCACACTGGAGTGAGGCCCTATGAGTGCAGTGAATGTGGGAAAGCTTTCTGTCGCAAGTCACACCTCACAGAGCACCAGCGGATTCACACAGGAGAGAAGCCCTATGAATGCAGTAAATGTGGAAAGTCTTTCTCTTACCACTCTGGTTTTGTCCAACATAGTTGGATCCATACTGGTGAGAAACCTTTTAAGTGCAAAGAATGTGGGAAAACCTTTTGCTCCAAGTTTAATCTGCGTCAACACATGAAGGTTCACACTGCAGGGAAGCCCCATTAATGCAATAAATGTGGAAAGGACTTCAACCAACACTCACCTTGTATGCATCATATGACCCACACTGGATTAAAACCCTTTAAATGCAATGTCTGTGGGAAAGCCTTTCAGCTACCACTCTAATTTCAGTCGACACATGGAGATTCACACTGCAGAGAAGACCTGTGAGTGCATCAAGTGTGGGAAAGCTTTCATGGTCAAGTCGTACCTCCTATACCAGCAGATTCACATTAGATAAGCCAGTAAATGTAGACGGGCTTTCACTTAATACTCATCTTTATCCAGTGTAATAGGATCCTTACTTGTGCAAAACAATACTTTTACTACTTCCTGAAATAAATGAAATGTCCCTCCCTTATTCTCCTGTTCCCCTTTCATTCACCTCTCCCTTGCACCTGCAAAGCCTGTTTTCTTCAAGGCTGCTGGCTCTTGACAGGGCTGCGAGGTGCTTCCTGCTTAGTGTCGAGCTCTGGAGCCCAGTCTCTGGAACTGTGACACTGGGTGTCAAATCCCATCACTGCAGGCTTCTGCTGCCCCGCGCAGGTTACTAAATCTCTACTTCAGTTTGCTTGCTGGTAAAATGGGTAATTTAGTAATATATTCCTACTTCACAGGGCTGTTATGAGAGTAAATGGCTTCATGTCCTCCCTGAGTGTGTGTACGTTGACAGTTATCCCTGCTGATGTTGCTATTTATTGATATTGTTATTATCATCACTGTCATGCCTGGATTCAAGACCTTTTGAAGCAATTTTGTGAAGCTTTGTGGTTAAACAGCACAGATACCAGACAGTCATACCCAAATTTCCAACTCAGATTAGGTGTTACCATTTTTGTCCATTTCAGTGAATTAGGTTATTTCCTTGATCTTCTTTATTTTCATCTACAAATGATGCCTTTCAAGGAATCTGCGTCATTTGGATGCCATTAGGAACACCCAGATTGAATTATTTCCTTCTGTTTTATTTAGGACATAAAAAGACTCTAAGACTTATACAGGGCACCACCAGGAAGGTAGTAGAGTAGGAGGTTCCAGCCTTCATATTCACAGAAACTTCACGTGGGCAGTGACCCACATACAATAAATGCCTTTTTGAAAGCTCTAGTGTCCAGTTGAGAGATTTTATCACTCAGGTGGAGCATAGAAATGAGAAAGGATGCATTGAAAAGGCTAGGATCAACAATTTCAGTTTACCTGTATCACCTCTACCTCAAACCCATTTAGATGAGCACCGAGAGAGGTTCTCTCCACTCTGGAGCTCTCTCATGGGGAAGAGTGAGATCAGTGTTTGTTATGTTGTGTCATGGATCCAACGTCTAAGCCTGCTTCAGTAGGCCTGGCTTACGGCAGTTTCCAGGGCTACTCCAGCCCCGCTGCAACCCTCAGTCACCCACCACCATCTTGGTGGTCTGCATCTACAAACTCAAGCTTAGGCCTTTCCCAGTGGACCATGGGGCCAAGGTGCACCCCTCAGACTTAGGTTCCAGGCCTACCTACCCCGGTTTCAGACTGGACCCCAGACAGCCTCCAAGCCCATTCTCACACCCAGGTTCCAGGCCAGCTCCTGTAGGCGGAGGCTTAGGTTAGCACACAGGCTGTAGGCCCAACCTAGTGGTTCCTGGTGCCAGACCACCCCCAGAATCTCAGGATTCAGGCTCACGTGTATGGGCCCATGCTCCAGGCCCACCTAATATGATCCAGGCTCCAGGCCTGCTGCCAAAGGCTGAGACTCCAGGCCCACCACTGTAGACCCAGGCTCCAGGCCTATCCCAATAAATAAACTATATGGCTGGGTCCTTGACTGGCCTGGTGCCAGGATCTGTGGGTGAGTAGGCTGGTGTCAGGCCTGTTCACGCACTGGCCCTAGTACCAGGCTTCCCCGAGGAGCCTGCCAGTCACCTATCCTGGAATGTCTGCCCAGGCTGATAGGTGAAGAGAAGGTTTGAATGGGAAGAAGATACCAATGCAAGGCCACAGGGATTACAAAGAATCAGGAAACTGCCACCAAAGAAAGAAAGAAAGCATAAGTAACTCATCCTAATGATATGGAAATCTACAAATAGACTGAAAATAATTCAAAGTAATTAAGGAAGCTTAGTGAGTTACAAGAGAGCACAGATAGTCAACTAAGCAAAATCAGGATAATGATATGTAAACAAAACATGATGTTCAACAACGAATATAAATTATTTTAAAAGAACCAAATAATTAGGGCTAAAGAATATAATAGCTGGCCTGGAAAATTCAATACAAGCCTTCAAAACCAAACTTGATCATGCAGAGGGAAGAATCAGTAAGTTCAAAAACAGTTCTGAAAGTACACAAAAAAAGGAGGAAAGAAAGAGTAAAGAATGTTTACTGGACTAATGGGGCACTGTAGTGTACACCCTGATATTTGGGATGGGAGGTTTGTTTTACTGTAATGCAAGTGCCTGACTTAGCTTTGATTGCAGAGGCATCTCTTTCGAAGAGGGATCCACTTCAAAGATAGCTATCTCAAATAAACACATTGCCAGCCACACAGTATGCCACCTTCCTCCACGGAGGCTCCTCTGTGTTAGAGGTCTTGGTTGATTATAATAACTGACCACTGGGGCTACCTGCTTGTTTTCTCTTCTGGCACTTTAAATTTCTGCTTCTGCTCTAATGTTTTAAATTCAGCAATAAAGAATGAGCCTGTAAAGAGATGAGAGTTGGGGGGCTGGGTGAAAAGGTAAAGGGGTTAAGGAGTACAAATTATTAGTTACAGAGTAGTCACAGAAATAAATTATAGTATAGGGAATATAATCAATAATATAATAACTACATATGGGCCCATGTAGGTACTTGAAATATTAGGGAGACCATTTTGTAAAGTACAGGATTGTCTAACCACTATACTATACATCTGAAACTAATACAGAATAAATTTGAATGTAAACTGTAATCGAAAAAAATCAAAAATGTTTCAACTAATCCGTGGGCTAAGAGTCAAACACAAAACTTAACTTCAAAAAGAATATTTCATGGAAAAATAAAAATACACTTACTGATCTTGATAGTTATGATGTGATTGACATTTAATTTGTATGTAAATTACATTTGCACTAACAACAAAAATAATGAGTGCAGTGCTTTGTAAGGATGTCTTTGCGGGGATAATTTTTTTCCAGCATTGCTAAAATTTGTATTTTAAAGGTGGTTAAAAAAAAAAGAATGAGCCTATGAAACCCTAGGCCCTCACCCTCAATTCCAGTAAAAGCAGAACCTCAGGCCTGTGAGCTCTGTCTCTACCTGTGAACTTGCTGTGTGGACCCAGGTGTACTGTGTAAAATCTAGGTCTTGTAAGTGATAAACCTGTATCTTTTCAAAGTTTCCTGATGGTTATTGGTAAAGGGTTTCTTGCAACTGTAATAAACACAAGGACTGGTCCAGCCACAACCCTGGTTATTGATAGGCTCAGACTAGTACAAAACAGACACCTTCAAGCAAGCCAATACATAGTCCTCTATATTCATGGGTTTTGTCACATTGGATTGAACTAGCCATGGCTCAAAACTATTAGAAGTTATATTGTTGCTGACATGTACTCTGTAGTTCAGTACAATGGTTGCATCTGTACTGAACATGTACAATTTTATCTTGTCATTCCTTAATGCAGTATAACAACTATTTACATAGCATTTACATTGTACTAGGTATTATAAGTAATCTAGAGATGGTTTAAGGTATAAGGAGGATTAGGTTATGTGCAAATGCTAGCCATTTTATATAAAAGATTTGGGCATCCGTGGATTTTGGTAACTGCAAGGGTTTCTGGAACCACCCCTGCAGATACCAAGGCATAATGAAAGTTAAAGGAGGGGCAGAAAGCCTATTTAAATGAAAAAAAAGTCTGAAAACTTTCCAAATCTGATGAGAGAAAAGGACACCCAAATTCATGAAACCCAAAAGATACACATGAATTGAACCTAAAAGGCATATACCTAGACACATTGTAATTAAATTGTCAAAATTCAAAGAAAATTTTAAAAGCTGTAAGAGAAAAGAAACAGGTAAAGACATATATAGACTAATATAGAATAAAGTAAAACTGTAAGGTTGATTTCATATATCATTTTTAACCCTAGTACAAAAATTAAAAGGTAAAAGTTAATAATTGTGACCACAAAATTTGTTTAATAGGTACAAAATAGAAACAAATAAATTTTGACATCAGTAATGCAAAGTGTGTTGGAGGAGTAAAACAGTTTTTCTTATGTGATTGAAATTAAGTCATAATTTGCTCACAAATTATGCCCCACAGAGTCCCCCCAGCCACCATGGATGGGGAAATAAGTCTTTCCAGACACCCTTGGTCGGCCAGGAAAAGGGAGTGGAGATTCCCTCTAGTGGAGAATGCTCCAGAGCCCTTCCCTTGAAGTGGCTTTTATTGAGAACAGTATGCACAGGGGTGTACAGCATGCATGCAAAGCCTATCAATTCAGAGGGCTATAGATAATAAATTGAAGAAATACAGAGGTTTGTCTTAAATCAAGGTCTGTCAGACAAATTGGTGCCAGATTCTCATAAAGGCACAGTTTTTGGGGCTCAGGAATTTTCTCCTTTTGGCAAAGTAAAATACCTGGTTTTTCCTTAACAGGGCAGTGCAAAGCAGAACAAGCTTCAGTAATTAGTTGCATTCTTTTGCAGGGCTACAATTCTCAATACCTCACAAAGTGGTCCCCAACAATTTATAGCATAAGGATCTTGTGGAGGCCTCATGGTGACCACAGAGAAAAAAAACAAACAAACCTGTAGCAGATACAAGAAATACAAAGAACAAAGTGTATCACTACCAAAAAATCAACTCACAAGAGAAAACAGAGAGGAGCAAAAGAACTACAAAATAGACAGAAATGAATTAATACAATGGTGATGGTAAGCTCTCAACTATCAATAATGACTTTTAAAGTATTAAATATAAGGAATGATATAAGCTTCATGAAGTGAGAAGACCCATTTGTATCTTCCCTTACATCTACAACTAGTCAGACATCTACAACCTGCTCAACACACTAATATGAATGAGAAATCAACATAGTGGTACATCTGAAGGTGTGCAAATTGGAAGGTATAGAGGAGGCAGAATGAAAGGAAGGACAGGTGCTGCCTGCAGATGTGGTTCTCTGGCCCCTGCAGCTGAGTCTGAGGCCCAAACCAATGCAGCAATGATGGAGGAGTTGGTGTGCAGCTCC